AATATAATTTATAAATGTTGATGGAAAGCATCGCAGGCGGGGACCACCTTGACCGCCACCAACGAAAATTCTGCTAAATGGTGCACAACAGAAATGACTATAAATAAGCCTCTGTTGGTCCCCGCCTGCGATGCTTTCCATCAACATTTATAAATTATATTCAGTAAATTTGTATCGTGGGGCTTGTTACCCGACTGCCAAAGAAGGAGGGTAATGTTTTTCGAGTGTATGTAAGTATGTATGTATGTCTGTTCCTTTGTGACCTCCTGTAGCCTAAACGGCTTGATGGATTTTGATGTATGAGGTATCGTTAGATTTGTCTTGATTACGGGAGTGTCATAGGATACATTTTATCCTAAAAGTCCCACGGGATAAAGACATAATAATATTTTTTCTAAATTTCCCTTTAAAAAAATATGTATGCGGTATCATTAGATTCATTTCAATCACGGGAGTAATTAATATAGGATACGTTTTTTCTCAAAATTCCCACGGGAACATGTTAATTCTGCGTCAACGCAAAGCAACTCATGCGTTAGCAACATCGATCACTAATAAAGAACTAAATACACAATCCCATACAAAAGTTCGCTTCAAAACTGTCGCCAACTGTATTTAGGTACTTATACTTGAAATAAAAATGCATTAATGTAAATTAAACCTTAAATGCAACTCATTGAGTTGTTTTTACAAAGTGATGTACAAAATCTTAATACTTTTTGCGACCGAAGCTCTTGACAAACACAAATCATAAGAAATTGAACCATATTCGCATGTTTTTAAGTCGAATTTACAAAGTGTCAAAAATAAGCAATAAAATTTAACGACTTCGGCTCACCGCTAGGACAAAGAATGATTGGAGTCGAAATGTCTCGTAAGAAATATATTTCTTTATAATATTTCTTTAGAAAATACGCAAATTAAAACGCATTACTTATAGTATTCTTTTCTATAGGTTTGTTCATTTATTTACCAATGAAACTAATGCATATAGTTATAATTCTTTTTTTTTATTTTCGTCCTCCTTAATCCTTTCTATTCGAAGTCAAATAAAAAATATGTAAAATAATAAAAAGAATATATATCTAAAGCAAGTACTGAAAATGTTGGCGTTATTGTTGTAAATTTTTCATATCGCACGGGATTTTGATGAAAGCTAAAAAAAATGTCTTTACTGCAGTTAAAATTGAATCCATTATATCTGCCTATTCCATATTTTAATAAACACAGTAAAGAATTATAATATTAAATAAAAACTATTTTTTAATAAAATAAACAATATATAAAATTAGGAACAATAGCGTCTCCGCTAAACGGAACAGAATCAATCCACGTAAACCGAACAACTTAAGTGGTCATGCTAGAGAATGATTTTACGTTTAGAATAAGTGTCTTTATAAACTGTGTGCATTATAACCCCGGTTTTTGAATACGATTTCATTTGGAAAAAGTTTTAATTTCTTAATAAAATATCAATATTTAAAATAGAATGATGACAATTATATAATGATAATATTATGACTAAACGAAAATATGAAATTCCATCCTTTTTTGCATCTTAGATGTGTGTGTTTTTGCAGTTTTTTAACGAGCACTGAGGCGTGTTTACCGTCGGAGCATTCGAGTGGTACTAAACTAAAACTACACCGCGATGTTGAGTTTGGTGGACTTTCAGTTGGGACATTTTTTTGCCACTGATTGTGTATCTAGTTCTTTATTAGTGATCGATGGTTAGCAAGCAAAAAGATAGGGCGTGGCCTGGCATGCGGCGCGCGGCGCGGTGCGGAGGGGGATATGCTCGAGTATACAGCCCGAATGCGGGCACACGCATAAGGGCACACGTCGTTGACGGTCGTCTCTAAATAGCGATTTTTTCGATACTTCGTCGTCTGACGCGAAACTTATAAAGTATAAATAACTCGTTCTTTTTCTTTCGTGTTTCTCTCTTTAAATTTATTCGTTCTTTCTAATTAATTAACTCGTTCTTCCGTTCTTTTTTTTGGTTCTTTCTTAAATTCTTCATATTAATTAATAATATAATAATAATTATTAATAAAAAAATAAAAACAGCTAAAAAGTTATAAATAAAAAAAATATTATTAAAAAAACAAAATACCCGACTGCACACTAAAAAAAGAGTAAAACAAGCCCCACAATACAAATTTACTGAATATAATTTATAAATGTTGATGGAAAGCATCGCAGGCGGGGACCACCTTGACCGCCACCAACGAAAATTCTGCTAAATGGTGCACAACAGAAATGACTATAAATAAGCCTCTGTTGGTCCCCGCCTGCGATGCTTTCCATCAACATTTATAAATTATATTCAGTAAATTTGTATTGTGGGGCTTGTTTTACTCTTTTTTTAGTGTGCAGTCGGGTATTTTGTTTTTTTAATAATATTTTTTTTATTTTACTCTTTTTTTAGTGTGCAGTCGGGTATTTTGTTTTTTTAATAATAATTTTTTTTTATGGATACATTATATATCTGTATCATATTTGATGATACATATGAAAAGAAACTGCGTACCTAGGTACTTACTTAGTAAAAAAATACAGACACCTTGTTTTATAGAATCTAGACTAGAATGTCATAATCGGCTGATTTTCTAATCTACTACGCCTCGGTAATGGATGTTTTTTTGATAATGATATATCATGACTTTTGTCCACCATGATCGGACGAGAGGATTTCAGACTCTTGCCTTCTCTTCCTTCTCCTGTTGGAGACGGGGTCTTTTCTCGCCCTTTTTTGTGAGGGGAAAATCATCAAATGACTTCTCCCGCCCAGATCCGGGCGGAAGGGAGTGTCAGACTCTTACTGACTAAACCACCCCCCGTTCCTTCTCCTACTCCATTATTACGTTTGACCCGTGTTTTTATTGATCATAAAGTTCTTTTCAATATATTATGTTATCTATCTAAGACCTACCTACCGCATAGATGTGAATTATTTGCCTTTTTAAGTCGATTTGCTAAATAATCAGACTGTATGTAGGTATATTGACGTCATTGTAAGTAGATAGGCCGCCGTAAGGCCAATGCGGAATGTGAACAAATGTTGATAATGACGATTCATTGCGTCTTCAATGCAGTCTTCTTAAGCTGGTTTTTATACCTACAGAGTGACACACCCAGTCTCAGTTCAGACGGAGAACAATTCTAAGCAAACATTTCGGTCTCTCTCATCATTGGTATTTTACAGGTTCCGAATCTGCACCCTAATGCATGAAGCCGGGGTTGCGGGGTAAGCGCAATGAGGCACCGCGACCTCGGCCGACAGCAGGAGAAGGAACAGGGGGGTTTTTAGTCAGTAAGAGTCTGACACTCCCTCCCGCCCGGCCCTGGGCGGGAGAAGTCATTTGATGATTTTCCCCTCACAAAAAAAACCCTAATGCATGAAAAGCGGGTGCCTTAAACTCTTGTCCACCAAGACATGATACACTATGAAATATATAAAAGCTTCTTTTCTAGCCAGTGTCTTTGTAATCATCTTTATTTACATGTGTATAAAACAGAAATTCCTATGTACAATGTTTACGTAATTTTACCAGTAGGCGTGGAGGTAATGCTGGTCGTTGTGATAGCCTGAAGATAATAGCAGCCGATTCTCAATTATAAGGGTGCGTAACCTGGCAACCAATGTGACTCTTTCCCAGCTATACCGTGTACTCTCTTGGTGATTTAAAACTTATAATAAGAAATTATAAGTCCGACTTTCTTCTGTTTGGCTTCACCGTTTGGTCCAATCACCAATCCTTTGAGCAAGCGTGATGATTACCTAGTTCAAAACTTATTTGTTTGAAAAGACGTGTTTGCTCAACAGTGGGCACTTATAGGCTGGCATATATGTAATATAATTAGAAGGAAAAAAAGAATTGAAATATTGTAACATTTATTCTTACGAAAAGAGAGGCAATACTTAGTTTGTAGGTAGTATAGCTCCATCCCTCTTTCTCGCCCGGAAGATGCTTTAAGACGCCGTGGTAGGCATACTGGCCTGTAAAACGGAAAGATATGCAATTATTATACAGTGTGCGCTTATTTTACGATGAATGGTTTTCTTGTGTGAGCTGCAATAAAACAGTATACCTATATATGTACATGCATTTAATTAAATGCACAAATCGATGCAATGATACATGACCTATGCAATAATTAGACTAATGACATTATAATATAATTAAGGCTGACTAAATGGGTATGAAAACAAAATATTTCAATAAGTACAATATTTATTAAGCAATCAGCTTTTGCTCGCTACTCCGTCCGCGTGGAATAGTGACTTCCTGCTGATTTTTGATATAAAAACTATCTTATGTCCTTTTTCGAGTTCCAAACTATGCTCTTGTACTAAATTTTACAGAAATCGGTTCAGTAGTTTAGGCGTGAAGAAAACACAGACAGACAGATAGAGTTACTTTCGCGTTTATAATATTAGTTTGGATTATTTCAAACAACAGAGTTATTATTGTGTAATTTTATACATGCAGGGACTCCGGATTCGCAGGGTTGAAATAACAAATAATTAACCAAAGATTTCTTACAAAAAATGACTCTGAAAACTCTCGTTCTTTATCCAAATCTACACTAAATACAAGAGCTAATTTTATAAACTTGTTTAATTAGCACTTAAGACTAATATCACAATGTCTTAAGGTCATGTGATTAAACAAAAACCAAATAAATTCAAGTCTAAACGGTAGCGAACTGAAAAGCCGTGAATAACTGGAGATATGATTCTATTTATCCTATCAAACATTTGTTTTACCTATCTTGGTTTCGCTAACTTATAAAAACCAGAGAATTTTCGCTTCACTGTGTATTTAAGAAGAACCTTCTGTTAGTATAAACATCCTTTTTAGCTGAGCAAAAACCGACATCCTTGTTTGCTGATAAAATTTTCACTAACCCATCATTCTAGATAAAGAACTACACACAAAACTTTACCTGAAAAAAAACAAGAAAAGTATATAAATATAATAATATATAGACAGTGATATAATGAGTGAACTTTTGTGTTAAAATCGAAAAAGAAAAAAAATAAAGTGATAAAAATGGTAAACGACGAAAAAGGAACAGATTGGGAGAAAGAAAAATTGAACCCGAATGGATGGTAAGTTTTTGTTTTAAGTTAACAATTGAGTAGTTTCCAAATTTAAAAAAGATGTCATGTCTATGCTTACACCCGAATTCTGAAAGGCTTGTCAACGCTAAAATTAACTAATCTCTTGTCAATTCATCTGATTAGTTGTTGATAATTCGGTCAACCAATCAGACGACTTGACAAGAGATTTAATTGATTTTAACATTGATCGGAAACCAGGGGTCAGAGTGCGTATTGTTCTTCTTAATTTAAAAGAAATAAGTATGTTATATGATGCGAGAAATGACACGGCAATACAAGTTTTACCGTGGTTTTTTCGGCAAAAGTTTGCCATGTCATACAAAATGGATATCAAAATATATAATTGGAAACTACCCTATTGTCTTTATTAAATATATAATAATGAATAATAAAACGATCCTATATGTGTTATCGAGATTCATTATTTGATCGTAACTAAAAACGAAATGTTGAGACTACGCAAAGTTTGGCTAAGGTTAAGTAGGAAAATTTTATTGAGTTTATCCGTTACCTATGTATATTAGATTAGCTGCCATAATACCGAGGATAAGTATTACACATTTCTTTACCTTCTATCAAATTAAGCATCTAATCTTATCTCACAGACAATTTTTTATTTTTGTAAAACTAACTAGCTATATTCCTGTGCATTTATGCATATATGCGTACAACTGTGCGATTCACGCGAAACTTTCTGCCCCGCACAGCAAAACTTTGGAATGATCTTCCGACGGCGGTATTCCCGAACCGATACGACCTTCAAACCTTCAAGAATAGACCGTATTCCTTCTTAAAAGGCCGGCAACGCACCTGTGACTCCTCTGGTGTTACGGATGTCCATGGGCGGCGCCGATCGCTTACCATCAGGTGATCCGTCTGCTCGTTTGCCACCTATTCCATGAAAAAAAAATATTTACAAACGGAAGAGCGGTGCTGCGTATAGAATTAAGACTAGATATTTTCCTGTATTAGCTTACTATGGGTATCCAAAAACTAACACTCGATTCTTCTGTAAATGATAATAATACGAAATACCTTTCCATGCACCCAACTTACACTGCTCAACAACTTGCAAATTTTAGATTCGAATGTAAAAGAACAAGCAAAGAAGTCCTTTGTCCTAATTCACGCTAGTTGTTATTAAACAAAAAAAAATGTTAAAGCTAATTTAAAAGGTAACTTTCATGTGATAGGACGGAAACAAGAAAACGGATTACCTGATGGTAAGCTATTGATGCGGCTCATGGACACCCGAAACTACAGAGGAGTTACGAGAGCGTCGCCGACCTTTTGGGAATTGAAGATTTGGAGATTTAGGGGTTGGGGGAAAGGAAGGATTGGGCCTCCAGTGACCTAACACAATCTGTGACACAACGCTGTGATTATTTCACGCCGGTTTTCTGTGAGGCCGTTGTGTCACTCCGGTTGAGCCGACCCATTCGTGCCGAAGCATGGCTCTCCCACACTTATAAAGTAATCATTTGATATTATTATTAAGAATTAATTTTATCTGGTAGCCAAGATTATTATATCGATACTTATAGATAAATAAAATAATCAATAGCCAGCTGTTATCAATTCAAGTGTCTTTTGATAAGTGTATAGCTTTGTAAGAGATAGTGAATATTTCAAATCCTACCAGATAAAACTTCTGATTGTTTAGAGAATCAATTAAATGTGGGAACTAGGAAAATAAATTAATAAGTAATTACTTTTAACTACTAGGGGAACGCTTTCTGTGTCAATAATGCTTTGCCATATTGTTATAGTCCGGGAGAGCCAATGTTCTAGTTCGATACAAATGGGTCGGCTCGACTGGACTGATACCACGGCCTCTCAAAAAAAACATTATGAAACAACGCGAGCTTTGATTTTCACTGTGTTAGTGAAGTTACCGGAGGCCCGATCCTTCTACCTCTTACTATCAACCCTTAAATCTCCCCCCTCCCCCAAATCCTTTATTCGCGTCGATAGCTTACCATAAAGTTCGTTAGACACTTCATTTACTTAATCCTTTTTATTTAAATGGTAGGACGACAAAGGAGTCAACTGATGGGCCATGGATATGGACACCCACAACAAATACTTTACGAGTACGTTGCCGACCTTTTAGAGATTAGGGCTTTGGAGATTTAGCGATTGGGAAAGGGAAAGGAATGGGCCTCCGGTAACGGCGAACCAAACACAACGTTTTTCTGTGAGGACGTGGTATCACTCCGGTCGAGCCGACAGTGTATAGAAATATAGAAATATAATCCTAACAATAAAATATATAGGTAGTTACTGTACAGTTAATAATATACTTACTTGACCGTTCTGAATATTCGCAATAATATGAGTAATAGAATAATTAAAAATAAATATAATTGGTCATCATGACCGCTCAATCAATTACTCATAAAACGTGATCAATCACTGAAAATAGTAATTGAATTATTATTTTAAATACTACGAAGTTGTTTCAATGCGGAAGGAAATATCTAAATCTTTAATTTAGGTTTTCGTTTATATATATATACATATAAAGGGAGTAAATAGAAAATATCATACAAATATACAAACCTTCAATCATAATTAATAAATTCTTAAAGGAAACGAAAAAATAATAATTGCTCCTAATATAAATAGCATAGCACAAGCAGCGAATAAAATATTGCTCAAGTTTTTTGCAAAGGCACTCTTATCAATCAAATGGGTTGTATGTATATTATTTCATTCAATACTAGCCACTCTCTGGCGGATACATAAATAAAATATTAATTAATGTTGACTTTATAAAAATGGCAACAATAATGGAATTAGACTCTGCTGGGGTTCAATTAAGCGTTAGGAAACACCGCGGCCGGCTCGGAATAAAAGATAAAACAGGGTAGCTTGTAGTCAGAAAGGGTCTGACAACTCCTCTGGACTCACACGGGTAGGTAGAATTTACTTAATTTCCAATTTACCCCTCAGAAAGAGAAAGAACAAAACCATTGTTTTACAAGAAATAAATAAAGAGATTTCTGATTCATTAATAATATTATTATTGTTGCATCATTTCTATAGTTTTCATTATTCATTACGACTTCGTAATTTTCCTTGAGACCACAATATGCGATCCTCTTCGTTTCTGCCCTTATACATGCTTCTCTTTCTTCTTTTTCAGTTCTCCCCTATCAAACATGACCCTATTGCAAACTCTTTTCTTTTTTATAATATTTCTTAAACAATCAAGTTACTAATCCCCCTTTTGCTTTATCGTCTTCTCTCCTTTTATACATTCCAAATTTAAAATCAGCTCTCGTTTTTTCACATTATTTCTATCCCTTCTACGCCGACACACTTTCAGCACCACTATAACCAACGCTAGTTTAAAGTTTCCTCTAAAATACTAAATTAATATTTTATCTCCTCTGAACACTAACTAAAGAATTCCATCCTTCCGTTACATCTGATGTTTAGCCAGGGTTGCGGGTCTAGCGCAATAAGAAACCCAATAGTATTTAGTCAGTAAGAGTCTGACGTGACAAGCCATTTGATGATTTAGAGCCCCCCAAAAAGGCCGTAGTAACAAAAGACCGTAGTGCAACCACCAAAACGTGCCGAATCTCACGATGTCGCAGCGTCACGTTTTTGCCAAAAAACATTCCGCAAACAGAGGCCAACAAATCCTAAAAACGATTCTAGTAATCCAATATAAGTTCAAAAGATTACCGTTAGTCAAACAATACCAAACATGGCGATGTAATATTAGTTTAGAATTAAAAAATGCAAATATTAAATTATTTCCTTGATTACGTTAATAGAAATATCTTAGTGACAAAATGAATCATTGTATTAGGTAGAAATCTATTGTAATACTCGTCCAAACAAGGTTATTAGTACCGCAGTGTTGCTACCGTAATTCTGTACACAATATTATCTCATATTTTTGCATGGGAGAATTTGTTTAAGCCTTTACTTAAGCTTCTGTAAACGAATTGGATTCAATGCGCAATTTAGTTGTGAGGGTTATGGTTGCGGATTCAGAACTTGGAATCTATAACCACTTCTATAATAGTCGTTGATCCAGACGGTTCGGGGTCCGGGTCTGAGTGCTTCAAGTTATCGCGAGTTGTGCTAAATCTCCCACGACCTGGGGAAATTTTTTGAACAGGCAACATTGAATTCTTTTTTTTTATTCTCTCGAGTTTGGGTAAACTGTGTTCTGCCTTTGCATTTGAGATGAGTGACTCTGACAGTATTCCGGAAAAGAGGTAAAGAATTTAAGGATACATTAAACCGATTTATTTAAGAAACACCTACTAATGAATAATATTTCAATTAATTTGCTCTTATGATTTTATTAACTTATAACTTTAATAATATTTTTATTTTGCGTATTCTTACATCGCGTCTTTTGCTCTGTTCTGTTTACCTTACAACAGAAAACAATCGCTATAGGTAATTGTAGCAATAGCTTTGATCAATTTTATCATTTTAATTGTTTGAAGTAACTACACTACAAATTCACATAGAAAATTGACCGCTTTTGGTTTTAAGATTTAGTAATTCCAAGTTATAACATCGAAATACAGTAAACAGAACTTTAACAGTTAATACAATGGCGAGAGTTTATCCAAGATGCAACTTGAACATTAATGCTTCATATAAATAAATCAGTATTTTCCATTTACTTACCATTTAAGTATTTATTTTATTCTTTATTTTGATAACTTTATGCACAAAACATTCTACGAAGGTGGGCTTAATGCCATGGGCATTCTCTAACAACCAAACCTTTGGGTGATAATGACCATTTACTATAGACTAATTCAAATGCTCTTTTATACTAAGTCTTTTCACCATTTATCAGATGTATCGATTGCTTACCATGGTAATTCGTCTGCTCGATTGCTGATCTACCTATGCCATAAAAAACATACGGCCCATGCTCTCAGAACATCCCTGATTTCCGTATAAGATGTTACAAAAGTCACAAGTCATTATTTTATTCCAACTTAATC